AAGACTAACAGAAGTATTGGGAGCATAAGCTTTCATGGGTAAGAACCTCACTTGCATTTGAAGAAGTGAGGTTCTTACCCATGAAAACTTATGCTCCCAATACTTCTGTTAGTCTTAAAGGTGCCACAGGACCCTCTGTTGCTTTTTAATAAATTCCAGATTGAAATGGCATTCCCTGTAGAGAATTCTGACCTTTTATAACAACATGTAATTGTTCAAATTACTTAATATTAACACAAACATTTAGAAAATAAAGGATTTTGCATAGAAATTGTATTTCACATACTGTTTGACTAGTAAAGATTAGGAGAACCAATAAAATCAATAGATTGTAACATGTTGTTACCTCCGTCAACCTGAGTGGTTAACCAACAATTTGGGGTCTTGCGGGTTGTTCCAGTTAGGAGGAGAAATGGGTGATGAAGTCAAGTATTTCTTCTACTTACAAAGAATGTGCGAAGTTCTTGTTTCCCTGAGTACAGTAGGAATCGAAACTTCGTATTGTGTTTTGCTTACAGTTCTAAGCTTCTTTCAGCCAGCACTGAGCTGAGAAAGCTTTCTCTCTTGGTTTTTTCTAAGGGCCATGCTCCCAGTCCTTTTGCAGTGTTCTTGGCTTTCTGCTCCTTCTCTGAGTTCTTCTCTGGTGTTTGTCTATCTGTCACAGACATACAAATCCTCACAAAACAATAACCAGCAAAACCCCTCAATGCAAACACAACTTGCCTGTGCCTTTGTTTTGGGTGGTGACATGTACCTGTGTTTTTGGTGGAGGCTGCTATTGTTTGTTATCTTGTTCCATAAAGATGCTTAATGGTTGCTTACAACTGTCTTTAACTGAAGGGCAGTGATTATGCCTAACCCATAACAATATTTTGCAATAATACAGCATCTCTCATTTGGGGATTTCAAAATACTTTACAAAGGGAATTGACTCTCAAGCATCTACAGTAGAATCTCAGTTACAAACACCTCAGGAATGGAAGTTGTTTGTAACTCTGAACAAAACATTATGGTTGTTCTTTCAAAAGTTTACAACTGAACATTGACTTAATACAGCTTTGAAACGTTACTATGCAGAAGAAAAATGCTGCTTTTAACCGTCTTAATTTAAATGAAACAAGTACAGAAACAGTTTCCTTATCTTGTAAAATCTTTTTTTAAACTTTCCCTTTATTTTTTTTAGTAGTTTACATTTAACACATTACTGTACTGTATTTTCCTTTTTTTGTCTCTGCTGCTGCCTGATTGCGTACTTCTGGTTCCAAATGAGGTGTGTGGTTGGCTGATCAGTTCGTAACTCTGAAGTTCTACTGTATTCTAATCCAGGAATCTTGATGTCAGTTTCTTGCTCTAACCACTAACTAATGCTTTATCTCCACAGAAGCATAGAGCCTCCCCATTAACAGAATCTTTCTCTTAAGGTTCTATTCCAAAATTTTAAAATGCATATTTTGCTAATGTTTTCAGGGTTGCCCTAGGCAATCTACGAGAAGGACTTTATAGGGCACATGCTCTACATTGCTGTTGTATCTGATATTACTAAATTCTGTATTTTTGCTGTATCCTTTACAGTGTTTCCAGTGTCTTTCTAATCTGGTGTTATAGGAGAGGGCTACAAAATTGGTTCCAAGTAGGCAATGACAAGTTAGGACAAAGGCAGTAGGACAAAGTAAAAGCTGACACATAGGCAGGGATGGATTTACACAGAATCTTAAAAGTGGGAATGAAACTTACTGTCGAGAGCAAGAGGAAGCCAATTGTAGGAACTGAAGAGAAGTGTGTTGTTTCAAAGCAGTGGAAGGGGAAGATTTATTTTAGCAGCAGTATTTTATACAGGCTGGGCTCGGGCAAGAGGAGATGCTGGCAGGCCAAAGATGAGGAGACTGTTAGTACTTGAAATGACAGATGACATGTGTGAGCAAGGATTTGGAATGGAGAAAAAGTTTAAGGAAAACACAGACAGGATTTGGTGACCACCTGAATGCAGGGTGGGGAAAGGAGTTAGAAGTCTAATATGAAATTGAGGTTTCAAATCTGGATGATGTGAAGGATGGTGAAAGAATTTTGGAGAAAGGATACCCAAAGGGTACCCATAGAGATGGTTTAAGAGAAACATATGGAATTCACTGACCTAAGGGGTATCAGGCAGGACAGTTGCCCAGGGCTCCATGCTACAGGGGTCCCCGCAAAGCTAAGTTGCTCAGGCTTCGGCTTCAGTCGCAGGTGGCAGGGCTGGGAGCCCTGGGCTTCAGCCCAATGTAGCAGGGCTTCAGTTTTCTGGCCTGGGCCCCAGCAAGTCTAACACTGACCCTGTTTGGCGGCCGCCCTGAAACCTGCTCGTGGCCCTCAGGAGGCCCTGTCCCCCCAGTTGAGAACCACTGTTGCACATGACACATTTTCTCTGGGGAGTTGTCTTTTCCATTAGTGATCACTTTTGTTAAATCATCCTATTTCATGGGGTTGATAGCACCCTTGAATAATTGCCTGACAGCCCTGTTTTTGGTTGTTTTTTGATGGTCCAAATGAATAAATCTGTCAGCAGCCACTCAGACTGCTTCAGTAGGAAGATGTGATGATGTACATGCATGACAAACTGAAAACTTATGCAGATTAAACTGACATTTTATAAATAAAGATAAGTAGTCAGAAAAGTTTATTTTAAGAAGTTAACTTTTACTCAACAGATCTGTTCTCATTGTATATTCTGAATCACACAGTTTCT